ATCATTTAATAAAAAAAAAATAAATATATTTTTTATATATTTTTAATTTGCAAAAAAAAAAAAAAAAAAAAAAAAAAAAAATAAATTTTTTTTTTTTTTTTTTTTTTTTTTTTTTTTTTGCAAATTAAAAATATATAAAAAATATATTTATTTTTTTTTTATTAAATGATTTGAATTGTCAAAATATAGAAGAAAAAATTGTTGATAAAAGGTTTCTTGTAGTATATTTTTGTTTGAATTTATATCAGAATATTTTATATTAAAAGTAGTAAAATTTTCATGTTATGTAGTATTTATATAATTTATTTTATATTATGTTAATTATTTATGATTGTTAATTTGAGATAAATGTATTTGAATTGCTAAACATTGCTCATAATATTATAAATAAAATATATGTAATTAAAATCAATAATTAATGAGGATTTAAATTTTAAACAGCAATAGAGATTTCATTAAAGTAAATAAATGCCTCTTAAAAATAATAAATGCTCAATAAGTAGATTATATATAAAAGAGTTTATTGATTTATAGTATTAAAATTTCATTTAATTTTCTTAAAATGGTAGAAGAAATTATTCATATTTTTTGTTAATTTTTTTCTTCAGAACTATAGTAAAGTTACTAGAGGGGAAATTCATAAATCAATGATATATGAGATAAGCTATTTATTTCAAATTATGCTTAATAATTATATTATTAGTACATAAATATAATAAGTAGTATTTTTACAATAAATAAAATTAGTAGAAACCATTTTGCAAGTTCCTTATGAATTTATTTGTTGAAAATTGTACAGAAATCCTTGAGCTATAAATTGATAAATCATTAGTATCTTTTCTATGCTATTTTTTAGGATTATTTATTTTCATTATTAAAATATATTTTTTTTATTATTAAATTATAATATATACATATATTTTTGTTATTATATTCAATGTAATTTCATTCAATAATAATTTAAATAAAGTAAAAGTGAAAAATCACTCCAAATAACATGCATCCAATAATTAATTAAATATTAAGAAAACGACACATGGTAATATTTGTATTTCACTTTTATTATTAATACTAATATAAATAATTTAAAAAGTACAAAAAAATAAAAAAAAAAAATTTTAAATCTTTTGAAAACTTCAATTTATAATAAAAATTATTAAAATATTTTTTGTAATTTTTTTTTTTTAGATTATACAGATAATTAATGTCTTAATATTTTTGCATAACTAGTCAATAAAGAATATTATTAGTTTCTTTAAATATTCAACTATGAAATATAAAATAAATCTAAAAATTATATATGAACTTAATTTATTGAGAGAAATGGCTTAATGTTATACCTGAAAATATTCTGAAATATGTACAATAAGGAAAAGAAAAAAAAATTTCTTTGGATCTAAGATATTTTTATTTGATTATACATCTGTTGATAATTTTTTTTATTTTTTTAAATATTTTTTTTTTTTACTTTGATAATTAATTTTTTTTTGAAAATTATTTAAAAGGAAATCGACTATGAAAATTGTTTTTATTATTAAACATAATGAATTTTAATAAAAAAAAATATTAACATATAATTAAGTGTTTATATATACTGAGTATTTAAATTTTAATAAAAATAAATAAAATTTTTTTTATTATACTCTTTAAATGTCTTGTAAGTTAATTCTTTTAAAATAATAAAAACATTAAGTCAATGTATTTTTATATAATGGATTATGAATGCCACATGCATAAACTACTTATTTCATGTTAAGCACAATAATTATCTAAAGAATATATATTGAGTATATGTATTTTTATAATTAACGAAATTAAAAGAAACTATTTTACAATTTTTTTATAATTTAGAATCTTAAACATTCAGCAAGTGTATTTCAACCAGCAATTAATAAATTAGTATCCTTTATTTGTAAATATATGTTATAAAACATTAGAAATATATAAATTTAGCTAATAATATGAAATATATATCCACTTAATAGGTTTTCTTAGAATAACTTGTTTTTGTATAGAACAATGAATATATTATCGCATCTTAGTTAACTTTCTGATTTATTATTTAATTGTTTAATGAATTTGGTATATTAACAAGGAAATAAATTAACAAAGAATATTTAGAGTAATATATTCTATTTTTGATTATTGAGGAAATATATTGTTATAAATAAAGTAAATATATGTAATTACCTTTCAAAAACAAAATAAATAGTATATTTTATATAGAAAATGCATTTTCTTAAATAAAAATATATCAGTTTAATATTGTTATCATTATTAACATAATAGCAATCTTATAAAAGGCATTTATTTAATTTAATATTAATTTTCTTTATTTTCATTAAAATATAAATTCTTAATATGAATCCTTTTATTATATATAAAATAAGAATTTTTCTTTAGAATTATTAACATTTCAAATAAAAATAAAAATTTTTTTTTTAAAAATTGAAAACGTATTTTAGAAAAAAAAATTTACAAATAAAAAAAAAAAATATGAGTTTTATTATGCATGTAACAATTTTACTATATGCTATTTTTGTTATAAAAAAAAAATTAACTATTTTTTCAATAAGTGAGCATGCATATCTAGCTTTTTATTTTATTCATATTTTACTATTATTCCATAGAAGGTTATTAACATCATTTATCAAGTACTTATAAGTTAATTATAATTACACTTTTTTTTAAACTTTTAAATATGTAAGTTATATTTATATATATAATATATTATTATTTCGTTTTAACTTTATTAGATTTACAACTTTTAGCTTTATTTCCATTTATTTTTTTTTATATTTTACAATAAGTTTATGTATATATACATAGAATTTTTAGTAAATATTGTCAAAACACTGTTCATGCATTGTTGTTTTTCCACATTTTTTATTTATGTACAAATTCTTACATAGCAAATTTTTAAAGAAAAATAAATTATTTTTAATATTATTTCAAAATAATTAGAAATACACAGATTCCATTTAAATTAGAAAAACTAAAAAAAATTAACTAAATTATATAGGTTTTTGTGATTTTTATTATAAAATCAATAAAAATTTTATTTTATTGTATGTGTTTTTTTTCCTACAATAACTCTTGAAAATTTTAAATAAGTGTATATTGTAAATAATAATTACCTGTTTTATTCTTATAACGGTAATTTTATTTAATTGTAAATTACTATTTTTAAAATGAAAAAGTCTATGAAAGATCACAATGTATTATTAAAAAGTTTATTAATAAAGATAAATTTTTAAAATTCATATATTTTAATGTATTTATGTAATTTTTTATATGCATTTTTTTTTTATTAATAATATAAAATAAATCCCTGATTTTATTTATTTTTTTTTACTATGTATATATTAATAAAAACTGTAATTAATATAAAAATTTTATCTACATTTAAATATGTTCTTAAATATATACATTTTTTATAATAACATTATAATAAAAAATAAATTTAAAAAAAATTATATTTAAGTATGTACATTCTTGTCATTAATTACATAAATAATTTTATAATTAGTACTATTGCGACCAAATTATTTTATTTGGATTAATAAATTAAATATATATAATTTATTATTTTAATTTTAATTATCCTCTTCATTTTTTATTTAGTTTTTAATACTAAATCATTTATATATAATGATGAAATCACATGCAAATGATTTTATCTTAAATACATCATGTTTCTCTATTAATATTTTATTGACTTGATAAATTAATATGGTGTTGCTGATTAAGTAACATTATAATAAATTAGGTAGTCGTTATTTATTTTACATAATATTTTTTTGCTGCATTTATTATAGTTAACTAAAATGATATATTCAGGGGTTAAGTTGTTTTTTATTTACTTTTTTATTTTTATATTTATATTATCTCATGTTTGGTTCTTATTGCGTAACTAAAAAATTAATAAAAATAATTTAATTTCTCTTTTTTTAATTATTTAGAATATTACTATTTTGTCATATTACCAGTGCAATCAAACCATAAATAAACCTAGAGTATAATAAATATTTTAATTAAGTAAATAATTTTTAAAGAATATGCATTACTCTACTAATATTTGTTTTATTATTATTATAATATAAAATGACAAATTAAATTAGATTATGACTATTTTAATATTATATTTTTTCAACTTTTTTATATACGCGGATTTAAATCGATTTCATCTTCATTTTTTATTCCTATTTATAAAATATATTTTTTTCAAATTATTTTAATCCCCTATATAAATTATAAAAAAGTATATTTAAGTGAAAAACATGTACAACAGGCTAGTTTATCTTTAAAAAATATTGTAGTAGTTCATAAGTGTTTCTTTTTCTGAATATTATATATGCGCAAAAATTTTTTAAATATATACATAATATAATTTTTTTTATAAAAAATCTTCTAAAAGGAATTACTTTTCATTAAATGAATAAAATATTTTGTTCCTTAAAATTATTTCTTTAAAAATCATAGAAGTTGATTAATAGATTCTTTCTATAAAAACATTAAATTTCTATTTTAGATTAAACAACTATTAAAAAAATATACAATGATTTATATTTACCATCAAATTATTGGTATTTTAGTATTTATATATATATATATATATTGTTTTTGATTTATTACGTATTAGCTATTTCTCATGAATGTATCAAATCTTGTATAATCTAATTAAAATTTTTCAAAATAGTTTTTTTTCTTTTTTATTGTTTCCTTTTTTTTTAACTATTATTTATTTATTATATTATTTTAAAGAAATTAAAGGCATACATCTCATGTAATTTATTTTTAAAACTATTTATTACATTGAAAAACTTAGCAAAAGTTACCTACTATAGTCAATAATTGTTTTATTTTATAAAATTTGGTTATTAACAACTAAATCTACTGATATATAAAACAATATTGCATTTACATGAAATATTATATAGAAAAGCATTAATATTTAATTATACCTAAATCGGGAATCATATTGTCGCATATATTTAAACTAAAAAATAACCTTTGAAAACAAAAAAATGTTGAACTATTCAACAATAATTTTTTATTTTTATTTTTTAGTATGGATATATCAATACCTTTATAATAATAGGTATTACGAATTCTAAAATGTTTTATTATTTTTAATTTTTATAAATTCATATTATCAAGTAAAAATAATTTTCATAATTTTAATTTAAACTTTTTCTTATATCATACTCTATATAGTTTTCAGATAAATAGTATTAATTTAAAAACAGAGAATTTTTTTACAACATGGAGAACACTAGCAGAAGAACAAGCGACGGTTCCATTGGTCAGAATAGCGAGATCTTCTAGTAGTATGCAAAATAGTTTGTATAGGTGGTTAGAAAATATTCAAGAAAAATTTTTTAGTAATATAGAAAATGTTAAAAGTAATTCAACGGGAATTGATGAGGTAATTCAATGGGTGCAAAATAAAACTAATATACTTAAGCATGCATTGAATTCAACTATGGATCCTGGAGATAGAAGTTTTTTAAGTCAAACTCTCAATTCATGGAATAATCTTACGAGAACCCTTCTAAATACTACGTTCGGTTTAGATTTTAATGACGATCCATCCAGCAGCAATTTATTAAATATGTCTACGCCTTCATCCACATCACCTTCATTTTCCACAACTGATGTATCTAAAGCTGCAGAAAACATTACTACTATGATTTCTCAAAACCATACAGGAATATCAGGTTTATTACCTACAACTTCAAGTGGTATAGCTCAAGAATCCTCTTTAGGGTATAGTATATCTGAGGGATGTTCAGGGATTTTTTGTGAATCAACTACCATTGCTTTATCTCTTCCTTTTATTATTATTGGAGGTTTACTTTTTTTTGTATATCTTTATAAGGTAATATAAAACTAGTTTTAAAAAAAGCATTTATTTCTCTTTTCCTATACTCTATATGCTCAAATAAAAACTATATTCATATAAAAAATGTTTTTAACTTATAAATGTCAATTTATATTATAGTTTACCCGTATTGGAACATTTCTTGGAAGAAGTAATATAAAAAAAGAAAGAAGAAAAAGAAGGATATATAATGTGTCAATGGAAAATATTGAGGATCCTTATGAAAGTTCACAAGAAACAGAATCTATGAAAAGTACATTAGAAAGTTCAGAAGAAACAGAAGCTAAGAGAAGTAGATTAGAAAATTCAGAAAAAACAGGAGCTAAAAGAAGTGGATTTAGCAGCTTAGCTAAGGCATTTGGATACAAATACAGAAATATCTTTCCTTATGTAGATAGTAATTCTTATGAAAATGAAACCGTATAATGATTAAATCCGTCAAGAAGATTAGGTTTTAATTTAAGTAATTGAATAATATAAAAATTATTAAATAATAAAATGGCATAAATTTTTTTTTTCATTTTATAATTCACATTTTATTTTATTATTAATAAATTAATAATGTGTTCTCAAGCTACTTTCTAATTTTTTGTATTTAATATGAAAATACAAATATTATAATAAAGTGTATATTTCTTTTTCTTTAAAAAAAAAATTATTTCATTTATTTTGCAAATGAATATGTTTTTCACGAATTATATTTGTGTTTTGTAAATGTTTTTTTATGATTTTTTTAGCTTTTTAACTGGTATTTAGCGAATAAATTTGTAAACAATTTTTTAATATTTATTTAAAATATATCATTATTCTTTCCCTAATATTAATTAATACTTTAAATTAGACTTAAATTTTGATTTTAACTTTAATAATAGTATATTGTCATTTTAAGACAATAATTATTATTCTAGATAATTTTTTTTTTTTTTTATGATTTTTAATTTATTTTATATGAACGCATTATTTTAAATGTATTTTTTTATAAAAAATATAAAATTATATTTTCAGTACACATTCTTTTGATCAAAGAAAATAAGAATCGAGTTCTATAATTATATACCATATATTTAAAATAAATCATTTTTTAAATTTTCATAATCATTCAACATAAGATATTACTTCTAATGACTCTTAAACATTCTTAATACTTATACGACTTTAAGCAGTGTTAAAGAATTCTTAATATTATTATTATTTTTTAATCTATATATATGGTTTTTATATTATTTAATGAAAATATAAAGAGTAATACATTAAGAAAAATATTATAATGCATTTTTCTTTTCTCTAAGTAGAATGACAATACAAACCTGTTTAATAATTGGCTATTAAAATACTTCTGTTATATGATAAATAGTCAAATTGATAAAGAATATGTAGAAGGATCTATAATTATATTATTTATTATAATATTATTTATTATAAATAAATATATATTCTTTATATAATTATACTATTGATTTGTCTTTCTTACAATAACTTTTCTAGGGTATTGAACAAATAAGTTCATGAAGAGAATGTTTAGTTTCATCTTATGTATTTGTTTATTAAAAAAATATAATTAAGTAAAAATGTTTATTTATGTTATCAAAGATTAAATTTAAGTTTTTGATTGTATATTAAAACATATATGAATCTAAAATACAAAGTAAAAATAAAATCCTTTTTGTATTTCTTTTTAAAATCTCGTATTCATTATAATTTTTTCAAAATAGGTTAATTCGAATTAATTGATTTACATACGAAAAACAAAAATAAAGTAAAAAGAAATTAACTTTTTTTATGTGGTGGATATGCATGGCTAGTTTATTAATTAGCCGTCCAAAGACTTTTAATGTACTTTGCGTAGTAAAATCAATAAAGAGAATGTAGATAGATATATATATATTTTTTTTTTTTATTGCTAAATAACTTAACGTGGGTAATTATACATATTTTGTGTTATTATATATTTACAATAAAATAAAAAGATTTATTTTATATCTCATTTGTTTAACCATATTTATGAATAATTATTGTTAGAAAATATTATCTAAAAAAAAGTAGGTCCTAATTTTTTTTATAATATTTATTATTCATATTATTATACATATATTTATAAACATATATCTACTATATTTCAGAAGATATGCATCTCTGATAAACTTTCTTGTGTTTTTAATTACATAAAAAATTATTGTTACATACATCTTTGAGTATATCCTAACACATACTATTATCTTGCATGCACAAATGCTTTTTAAAGTAATGTATTTTTCAAAATATAAGCATCTTTAATTAGCCACTTTATGAGTATCTTTACATACAAAATCTAGTTATATATATCATAAGACATGTTTCCACATATGTTTATAGATTATTTTGCATGCATTGATAATTATTTAACCCACTCTATTATTAATATAAAAAATCTAATAAGAATCAATAGTATTTTTTATTGGTCCTTAAATATTTTCATATCTTCCATATATCAATTAAATATTATTTCAAAAAGATAATAATGTCTATTATTAACCAAATATATAATATTAAATAAATAATTTATTTAATTCTAAATCTAAAATCCTTGAATTAATGTAATGCTAAGTATGTCATGAGCTGCTTCAAAACATTAAAAATTTATAAGTATGTTTATATAATTTTCGTAAATATTATGATTTTACTCAAAAAAAATATATTTCATATCATATATATAACTCAAAAGAAAAATAAATTTACTAATCCATTGGTTAATAAAAGACATTATTTATCTTTTTTAGAATTATAATAATTGTATGGAAAACACAACGTTAGCCATGAACATTCTCTAGTTAAAACAATATTTGTTTATCTTTTTTTAATTTTTAATATTTTGGAAGAAATTTTTTTTTGAAAAAATTTTATATATTAAATAATAAAATTTCGATTATTAAAATGAATTAATAATATTTAAATTTCTCTTTTAATATTTACTTAATTGTGATAATTTAAAATCATTAGAAATGAATTGATAAACAATTATTTATAGAATTATAATTAAAAAATTTTGTTTGAAAAAATTAATTAATAAGGAATTATATTTTTTATTAAAATAAAGAATTTTTATTAGAAAAAATAAATGCCTTTTAAAAACATTCAAATCTCAATGAAACATACTACAAATATACAGTCTAATCTTTTATAGTATGAATATAATATTTAAATCAATTAAACTAATAAAGAAAACTCTATATTCCCTTTATTAACTTATTAATTTAATACTTTAGCAAGGTAATTAAACGAGCAATTAATAAATTATCTATATAACAAGATAATTCATTAAAAAAGGAATCTTAATTTAAAAAAATATAATATCTTTTTTGTGCATATGTAATTTAGTATATATATTTTAAATGGAATTTCTCAATATATTTGTCATAGCGTACACATTTTTTTGAATGTTTTTATTCACTCCTAAACTTATTTCTGCACTTAATTCATCAACTTCCTACTTAATAATTTTGGTCTGGTATTGATTAATAAAATATATTATTAATCTTTTATAAAATAATAGTTATTAAATTTTACGGTTCTGAAAATAACATACTATATACTTGCGTTGGTTGTTTAGAAAAACATTAAATTAAAAAAAAAAATTTTATTATTTTTTGTGAGAAAATGTTACTTATATATTTAAAAAATTTTTAGTAAATTCAGGGTAAATTTGTTATTTTATTTTAAGAAATTATTTTACTTGTAATCAATAATTTTAGTGAAAGCTTAACTTTTTGATAAAAATAAGGATAATTCTTGTTAAAGTAAATAAATATCTCTAAAAACAATGTTCAATTGTATAAATTATGTATATATAATGTTTACTCATCGTATGAATATAATTTATACAATTGAAATTAGAAGAAATCATCTTAAATAATCTTTATTAATTTGTTTTTTTAATATTCAAAAAATGTCAATGAGCAACTAACGAATATTCAAACTATATTATATGTGATGTACAATTTATTTTATATTAAATTTAAAATCATTGAATTAATTTTATGCTAAATAAATATTCAAATCACCTAGATGCGTTAAAAATTTACGAAAACGTCTATGTGGTTTTATAAAAACTATTATCTACAATTACAAAAACTTAAATACTTCATACCTACGAACGGATTAAAAACCAAATGTGAGCATCCTCTTCCTTTTTTTCTTAAACTTTTCTAACTAATAAAATTGTATATCTTTTTTTATCACATATTATTTGTTTTTAAAAAAAAATTATTAGTTTTTATTTCATAACTTTGTGTATAATCATATAAAAAGAAATATAATAAAAAAAAGTTACATTCTTAAAAATAAATTATCTCTTTTTTTTGTATAAATAGGCCATGCATTTAGTTAATATAAGACATCATTACCCTTTATGAGATTTTGTATGATAATAGTGGATTATTATAAAGAGTTGCTTGTGAATACTAGGTAATTAATAGGCATGTACGAAGATACAGATAAAGATATGTGCAATACTATTATCTATGCATGGAAAAACCACAAAGTGATTTATTGGAAATATATGTCTTTTAAAATATAGTAAAGGCATGCCTATAAATTGACGTATAATAAAAAGAAATACACTATAAAATAGGTTGTTTGCATTCATTAAAAAACACAATAATAATTTTATTTTAATTTTTGTATATATATAGTGTTGTTAGAATAATTTTTTTTTTTTATGTAATTTTTAATGAACTATTGAGAATAGTTTTAAAACATTAGAATATAAAATAAATATTTAATTTATTTTAAAATAGATAATTATACAAAAAGAATATACTTACGTTAAATTGGTTAATATAAGGCTTTATTTATCTTTTTGGTAATAAAAAGGACTAACTCTATGAAGAATACATAGTTGGTAATGCATACTGACTAATAAAAGGCTTTATTAACCTTTTTGGAAAATAAAAGGACTAGTTAAATGAAGAATACGTAGTTGATCATGCGCACACAAAAAAAAAAAAAAAAAAAAAAATTTTTTTTTATTTGTATTTTTATTTTATAAAAATACAATGACTGACAGAAAAAAAAAATTAATAAAAAAATAAAAAAAATCAATTAGAAAAAGATTTGTTACCAATAAATAAAAATAAAAAAAAAAAAAAAAGATTTTTTTTTTTTTTGAAATGAAATATGATTTGAATGAATTTTGTAAGAGAAAATTTTATACATATAACAATAAATTTTTGATGTAATTAATATTTATATAATTTTTTTTGTATTGTCACTAATTGTTTATGTTTGTTAATTCAACAGCAATATATATTAATTGCTTAATGTAACTAGTAACAAAGAAACAAGTAATTTACCAATAATTAATAATCAATGTTCAATAAGGATTTAAATTTTTATTAAAAATAAGGATTTTTATTAAAGTAAATAAATGCCTATTGAAATTGAAGAATGCT